TTTGGTAACAAGGTTTGTAAAAAACAAGCAAAATCACCAAAACTGCCAAACTGCGAATTTTCTCCATGATCACTATAATTGATTCACAATTCCATGGCAACTTACGTGAAATATACTTTTTACGAAATTTGTTTTTCTTTTGGGTTTCTAATTGTAGATAAAATATGGGTTAAAAAATGATTTTCATGATTTGTGTTTCCAACTGTAAAATAGCATATCTTGAAGGTATTACAGAGTGAACTTGTCTACATAAATGTATTGCATGAGACCTTTCATAAACTTCCTAAAATTTGAATTCTCTATGAATTCAAATATGAATTCAAATATGACTTGGAAAAAACACAACCGATTAATAATAATGGTATATAATTAGCCCGGGATCAAACGAAAATGGTTCGTTTCTGCTTAGTATTAACGAGCGGTAATAATTGTTATTCTTTCCTGTTTAATTTGAAGTTTCAACAACGCATTTCTTAATCTGATCTTCGACTGATTTTAATTACATTTCAATCACAGTGTTGCAAATGGTAATTCCATCTCTAGCGCTAAAAAAGTTGACAATTCTTACAGAAATCAGGTTTTTTTTTTGAAAATACGTCGACAACACACGTCACTAGAATTTTGCTAGATTTTGCGCTAACTAAATGGACGAACACATTCTTCTTCATTCTACTGTACTGTATTCAGAAAACCCCCCAATTGCTAACCTAACCGAAACTTCCCGTTAAGGATGACTTTTTTTATTTTCTTCTAGTTTTTCTTCTTATTTCTAATTTTCCCGAATGTGGAAATTTTGGGGTTAACAATCCGTAAGGAAGGAAAGAGACTTAGACGTTTGACACGGGACTTAAATTAAGTACTGAAAAGTAGTTTGGGGAAATATTTTATAAAATATTGTATACACGAAATACAGTTGTATGTCACAATACATGATTTAAAGTAGTAAATTTAGTACAAGTGCATGCGCAGATCGCATCTTGAAAAGGACGATGGATGTTAAAAAATGTTTTATTCTAGTTGCGGTTGATTAATTTCTTTCTGATAAATAGAAATGGAAAGAAAGAGTTGCTTTATCATACAAAAACTTTCTAAGAATGAATAAAACATCATTTGAGAAGTTGCTGAATTTGGTGGAACGTCATATAGAAAAACAAGATAAGTTTATGCGTGACTGTGTATCTGCTAGAAGCAAGTAAGTACACAATATAATTATAAACATTTCATTAGTTATCATTGCTAATAAAAATTTACCAATAAATTGTCTTAATTACAGACTTGAAACAACACTGCGCTTTCTAGCAACTGGCGAATCTTATAGATCTTTGATGTATAGTGTTCACGAATCAACCATGTCCAGATTTGTACCAGAAGTGTGTCATGCTATATATATATATATATATATATATATATATATATATATATATATATATATATTCTCACGTATTGATTCACGGATGGAAAAATATGATGACACTATATTCCGGGATATCATCCGTTCGCTCGTTGAACTCCGACTGGAATCCTGCATCCGACTGGAATCCTGCAAATCCTGCATCCGACTGGAATCCTGCAGACGTTTCGCCAAAATCTCACTTGGCATCTTCAATGCTCGCGCTCGAGTGTTCGAAGTGTTTTCGGAGCGCGAGCATTGAAGATGCCAAGTGAGATTTTGGCGAAACGTCTGCAGGATTCCAGTCGGATGCAGGATTTGCAGGATTCCAGTCGGATGCAGGATTCCAGTCGGAGTTCAACGAGCGAACGGATGATATCCCGGAATATAGTGTCATCATATATATATATATATATATATATATATATATATATATATATATATATATATATATATATATATATATATATATATATATATATATATATATATATATATATATATATATATATATATATATATATATATATATATATATATATATATATATATATATATATATATATATATATATATATATATATATATATATATATATATATATATATATATATATATATATATATATACATATATATATATATATATATATATATATATATATATATATATATATATATATATATATATATATATATATATATATATATATGTATATATCGTTCTTACAACAGAATAATATTTAAGTGTAAGTACCAATATACAGGGTGTTTCCACATTCAGTACCTAGCAATATTTTATATCTGTATAATAACAAAAAAGTGCAGATCACACATCTATTACATGGTAAAGTACCTACGTTTTCTGTTTTTGTAGACACCAGATCGAAAGGACTGGTTGCATATAGCCGAAGAATTTGACGCATTATGGCAGTTTCCTAATTGCATTGGAGCTTTAGATGAACGACATATAAAATTTGGAGCACCTATTTCGGCAGGATCGGTTCGGGTGATCACTCCATTGTTCTTTTGGCTATGGCAGATGCAAAATACAAAATACTGTAACTGTAACGTAGGAGTAAATGGAAGGACCAGTGATGGTGGAGTTTTTAGAGAAAGTGGTTTATTTAAAACCATGTCTTCAGGATATTTAGTTTTTCCACAAAATAGACCACTGCCTGGACGAGTGTTGGAAGTTCCATATGTGATTGTAGCGGACGATGCTTTCCCACTTTCCACAAGAGTTATGAAACCTTTTCCATGTCTAGGGTTAACATATCAACAAAAAATTTTTAACTACAGACTTTCTAGAGCTCGTCGAATTATATTATTTGGAATTTTAGGTAATAGATTCAGAATTCTTTTGAATCTCATTAATTTAAACACAGAAAAAGTTGAAATAATTACTTTAACATGTGTCGTTCTTCATAATTACCTGGCTCTACAGAAAACTGGAAAAATTACACAGAGATATCTCAAAATGAAATTTTAGCGAATTTATTAGAAGAGATTCCACAGCAAGGAAATAACAGAAGTGTGGTGTCTGCACAATTGATACGGGAGGAATTTAAAAATTATTTTAATAGTTCAGGGAGTGTGGAATGGCAGGATAATATGATTCGGAAACATAATATGTAAACGTTTTTATTCAATAAATGTTTTGCTTATATTAATTGCAATTTTTGTTTCCTAGCATCATGTAAAACATTGTTAATAATGTGTTGAGTATCTAAGAAGAGTTCGTCGTCCTCCTCAAGTGCTGTTAATTGCTTGATAACATATTCACCAAATGTTTCACTTTCTGAGTGGATTTTAGGTTTGTTCTGATGGGTGGCAGTTGCAGGTGCTGCAATAGCCGTACTTATGTCTTTCAATACTTTATTGGCACTTTTAATAGTCTCATCTTCAGTATTGTAACATCTTTTTCTTTTCTGCATATTGTTCGTAATTAAATTTGAAGTTAGACTTTTAACTGGATTTACCTTGGGAGTAACTGCTGTATATGTTGATTTTACAGGCTGAGAACCAATCAATTGAGGAATGTTATCAACTCTATTAATATTAATTTTTTGGGCAGACTGCGCCTCTTGAATATCTGTTGCCTCAGTCATAAACTGCAATTCCTAAAATGTGAGCACAATATTTAGTTGTACATATCACAATAATGTAAATACAGTACCTCTTCATTTAAAAGTAAATTTCTAGAGTTCTCACAAGACTCAGTTATTGCAGGACTTGTGAGCGATGTTAGCGGTGTCATAATGCTACCTACAGATTGACGTGGAATACTATGTTCAGGAACAAATTGCATCTGCTCCATAATACCATATGTTGGGTTTGTAAATCTGTACTCAAATAAATCGTGACTGTTCATAGTATATATACACCACTAAATTTAGTATAACCTTACCTCATCAGTTCCCATTCCGCTCTTTAACGAATTCACATATTTTCTGTGTTCAGATAAAAAGTTAGTACGTATGTTGTTAAACTTTGATTTGATGTCTGTTATTGATACAGATGGCCGGATACGCTTCAGTTCACGACATAATTTCATAACTACACATCAACACGCTATTTGAAAATTAACTATTTGAATTAAACCAAAGCTCGCAAAATCACAGCTAAACAAACATAACCTCATTAATAAAACAATCGGAATTAGGAAATGCGCATGTTCAGTCAATTTTATGCAAGAATTTAGGACGTGTTCTATTTTATTGTATGCAATTTGACTAAAAATGCGCGCGCAACTAATTGTATACAATTTAGGTTAAAATATTGTCCCGTGTCAAACGGTTCTTAGGTTAACTTAGTAATTATGGGCCGTGTTGACGTCTCGTAAACAATTTTAGTATAAACGGGGGATGAATTGCGCCTTCGGAAAGAAGTTCATAGACCAGTGAGTGTCACCATAGACGAAACCAACCAACTAAATCTATTCCAGTGTTTTCGAAACTGGGTAAATAATCTCATCTGTATAAATATGTGGACAACACGACTTACATAATTTATTCTAAATATAAACCCTTGGGTCGAGGCCAAGAATTATACTGTCCTAGTGTCCTAGCCTAGGTAACGTCTGTCTCTGTTCTCTATTCGATTGCTTCGGATACACTGAATACTTCAATTTAAATATATCTAAAATAAGATTTAAGAGGAAAGCAACCCTGAAAAAAATTTACTTGATTTTGTTAATTTGTATGTATACGTGACCACTGACATTGTTTCCTTTTAAAAATTCAATTGCCTTATCAAAATCTGAATAGGAACGACGATGAAAAACTTAGCGTCTACTATAAACTACACAAAATTTTTGAAAAACAAGAAGTTCCCATCGTAAAACAGACCATAACAACAAATATAACTTTTAAGCAATGCATTAATTTAGTCAAAAAATTAATAATCCTTGTTTGTTGTTTTGTTTTAAAATTTAAAAAACTAAAAAAAAAAGTTAAAAGTTAATTTTTTTCAAAATTTGGAATGGAATGGCAAAAAATGCTAATTCATATACATGGACTAGATTTATTGGGAAACATTTAAAAAATATAATTAAGGTTTTATTTATCGTAAAGTTTTTATTTTAAAATTGTTTTTGTTTTTTGTTTCAGGTTGTTGATCCGTACTCCAGTTCTCGGTAAGCGACACTTTTTTCTCGCTCAAACTATTTGCCTTCTTTTTTTTTGTCCGCCACTTTCAACGCGCGCGCATAAAAATACCTCCGCGTTTTGTATATACCCACCCGTGTTTACAAGAGGCATTAAGTGTTCCCTGAAACGACGAACCTCTATTTATATTTTCTGTAAACGCGTAGCTCGTACGATATGCATTCCGTTAACACGCATCTCTTTTTATCGGGGTTACAGGGATCGACCTTGACTGCGCCAATATCTCACCAACCTCACGAACCTAACTGTTTCCTTTTAATTAGAGTTCTTTTTCTCAACTTGAGAGAAATAAAAAAATACTTTTACGCTCTGAAATTATTTATTTTGTTGCACTTAAGAATACATTACATGTTGTCAAAAAATAAATAAAAACTCGAAACATACAAAAAAATACTGGTGCGTAAACGAACCACTGAGAAAAAACATTAAATAATGTTTTTGGAGCATATAATTTATACATAAATATACAAAAGAAAGTTCAAATTCGACAGAAAACAACTAAATGTATATTGTTTTCCAAATAGAACCTGATTTGATACAAAAAAACGCATAATATTTTATGGTGCGTGAGCGCACCACTGGTAACACCCGGGTTCATTTTTAGTAATATTTTACAAACCATGAAGTATGTTGTTACACTTATTACAAACGTGAATTGTGTGACTGTGGCAGATTCTACATCTCCTTCGGGCTTTATTAGCATAAAGGTAACCACCATTTTTTTCCAAATATCTGGCACCTGTAATTAGCAATTCCGTTGTCCTGTAAATCTACCCCACCCATATATCTATTGTATTGGGCAATTACATAAGGTTGGAGTATATTTACATCATTCCGTTTTTTTCTATTATAGCGTTTTACATGTTGGACAGGATCTACACTAGAGACAATAGAAATTTTTGATTTAGATTCATATGCTCCAATAATGCTCCAAATGATTTACAATTTTCCATTGGATATATATTTGTTCTATTTTCCCGGATAGTACCGGTGGCAAAATAACCATTATTTTTTAATTTTGATTTAAGTTTGAATGGTGAAAAAAAATTGGTGATTTACTGGCTTATCTACAACGGAAAGTAGACTCATGACAACCTCACCGCCAAGGTCAAAATGAGATTTATTTTGAGCGCCACCATATGGAGTGAATAAAATAGGTACCCATCAGATGAACAAAGGCACCAAAGCTTGAAGCCAGAACGAACTGGCTTCCCCCTTATAAACATTTGGCAGGAATGGCGGCCAAAGTAAGGTACCATTTGTTAATCTGTGGATAAGTTGAACGAAAATATGCCAAACTGAGAATTTTTTTTATTTATTACATCAAAGAAAGGTCCAATTTTTGAAAATTTATAAGTTTTGTTTATCAATTGGAATCTATTGCGGCTCATATATTTTTTATAAGATCAATTCCTTTGTCTTCATCAGTAGACCAATAATAATAAATATGTGGCAATGAATGCTAACCCGAGAACAATAAAATACCAAAAAAAATTTTTTTTGTCAACGAGAATTCATGGCGGTTATTGTCTTGAGCATATTTTACCGAAAATTTTCAAATCAAATCAATCACTTCGTCATCGAAAAACTTAAAAAATATTTCAGACGTAGTTTTTCCAGAAAGCCTTTTTAGTTCCTCACGCGGTCTAAATTCATCGGATCTAGGCGTGTGAGTTTTTGCACTTTTTTGAAAAAAAATAGAAGTTACTAAAAACGATTTCGTATTATATATTGTAGACAACGGGTACGTCAAAATGATCCAATATGGATTGATTGATGGGGAAACCTCGGAGATTATGGTATTTATTTCGCAATTTGATAGTTCGGGCATAAAACATGTTGCGTTATTTTGCATTTCGCGTGATAAATTACATCAACAAAACCGCACAACATAATAAATAAGGCTTCACCGCCTTCGTATTTTATACGAAGTTACACACACACCGCGTCATAAATTGAAATACGTTACGACCATTCTAAATTATCTATTTTAATGGTCTTACGACTTCGGGACCCTGTCTGCCCGCCTCGGACAATTATTTAGGTTAGGATTACAAAGAACATGCGAAAATAAACCCATACTCTCTCCCTTCTTCACCTCCAACTTTAACTATGTAGGTAGGAAGGTGTCATAAAGTTACAGAATAATACAGAATAAAATACTTGGACCAGCAATAGTAATTCTGTCACAAAATTGAGCTTTGCTGCGCAGTAATCAAGAAATTAACGAAATTACAAGAAATTCGATATTACTAAAAATGTTCAAATAGTTTAGTATATAAGTATTTAATACAGAAAGAATCCTTAGAACAGTAATACTAATCCAATATGAAATATATTGTCATAAAGTTGACCTTCACGGCACGAAGTTGAAGCAGTTCGAAATGAAAAAGTGATCAGTATGCATCTGAATACATCAACACAACTAACCTTATCTAATATTCGTTTAATTTTTGTTTTTTGAACTATAAAAATACCGTACGCGGAGTATTTCGAAGTCAAAAGGGAAGAATTCTTGCTCTGGTAGAACAAGGCATGTCACAAAGCCGATATGCGATATACGATCTGATGACCGCATTTTAAGAGGTAGAGGGCAACAAGCTAGACTCCGTGCTGCCAAATTTATTCCGAAATACAATTTTTTTTGGTGGAATTATTTTTGGTCCCCGTTCGACAAACTCTAACATGTCTAAGGTCACGAGCGGTGGAGGTGGTTTCACGGATTTGTTTTTAATTTATGAAAGATAACCGACCAGCAGCAAAATTTCTTTACAGTTTTAGAGTGGCCTGCTTGCTCGCCGGATTTTAGTCCTATAGAGTACTTATGGGATAATACAAAAAGAAAGATTAGAGCTCATCGAAATAATCCAGGTAACAAACAGCAATTTACGCAAGCGAGGTAATAGGCAAATGTTCCCAATCTGGAAACTAACAACCTGATACAGGGTGTGCCTCTTCGAATTCATTTTTGATTGTCTGAGAAATTATTAACACTTTTTGATAATTGTCCTATTATTAAGAAAATTGTAATAATTTCTACTTATTTTTTACTCCTCAATGACTATTGCCAAATTAAATTTAATTTCTCGAAATTACTATGTGATTGCATGTAACTTTGGTGGTATAGCGATGAGAAGTCGTGACTGGCGAATTAAAACACAAAAATATTTTTTTCTTTTTTTCTGAAAAAAAAACAGATATTTTGGGGTTTCACTTACATATTCTATACATATAATTCTGAGCACCGATTAGATTCAGTATAATTAAGTATATTCAATATTTCAAGTGTCTAATGCAAGAAGAACCCTAAAGAAAGAAGCAGGTTAGTAATGAGCCTGCTGACAATCAATATGGATCAGACCAAGACCAAAGGAACTGGAATCCTTCAGGGCGATGACAACTTTTTCAGAGTTTTGATATCCATCGGCAACACCAACACCTTTGTTTCTATTCTTCTGTTGAGTTTAAGGTTGCAATAGATCGTCTGGATGTAATCACGGACTGGAATCTAAGTCTATCCTATTTGGTATCCTAATTTGTAGAGTTCGACTCACCAGGAGTTGTTTATCTGCTTTCTTGCTCTGCTGTTTAGCTACTCTAAGAATATCGAATCTAGGGAAATTATTTCAATAACAAGGAAAACTTGTTACTTTCGAAAAATCGATCGATCGCTTTATTTTTTGTAATTTGGTAATTTTTCGATGAAATATAGGGTTTTTCAATTGTGGACAAAAATCTAAAAGACTCTGAAAATTGTTCCTTTCGCCATTAAATTATTATCCATAAACAAACTTACGTTTATAACCACTACTGCACCACAACTTTATTTAGAACACTGGACACATGTTTCGCCAGCCAAGTTGGCATCATCGGCAGATGATATAAACTATTAGCCATAAATCAAAATTCGTGAACAGTACTGAAGGCCGCATCAAGAGCTATAATTTTTGTATTTGCGGTTGTCGTCTATCGCACGCGCTTCTTGAGATATTTGAAAAAGCCTATGTGTTAGTTGCTGTATCTCGATTTCAATCTAGACGCGATGACGTCATTTACCTTTGCGGCGTACTGCATGATTTCAGATAACCTGTATTTTCTCGAAAACCATTTACTCTATTGGAAAAATTATATATGTATACCAGGGAACGTGGGAAATCTAGGACTATAACTTTTACTTCGGTCATTTTTTGAATTATGTACACGGTGTATCGATTTTGGGAAAAGAAAAGATCCTGAAAATTGTCGTTTTCGTGAGTTAATTATTAATTGAACTGAGGTGGCTTTCTCTTGATGATAATCCAGTTAACAAAATAAATAACTGAAAGTTCAAATTATATATATTCACATGACAATTGTTTCGACAACACCGTGTCTTTTTCAAATGTAATATTTACAAACTACCTGCTACTATATATACTGAAAAATGACAATAAAACCTTAATTGATGGTGTTGTTAGAATTTAAGTTTAATAATGGAGAGGTATTTAAATTTTATTGATCGTTAAGCAATACATTTGAATGGCTTCCAATAAATTTAATTTTCTACTTTTTGTGGCTGTATTTAAAATATCAAAATTGTCGTCAAAAATGTATTTTTCTGTGTCTAATGACATCTCTATAGAAGGTTTGATTGTGGGAAACACACTTAGTCCTCTGTTAGCCGAGATTTTTATGGATAATTTGGACAATCTCACACTAGAAGATCCTTTAAGTAAGTACGTGGATGATGTCTTTGCTTGCTTTGTTGGAACGGATAGACAATTGAATTCTTTTTTAAATTACTTTAACTTATTACATAATCGTATAAAATTCACTATCAAGATTGAACAGGATAACTATTAATTTTTTAGACTTATCTATTACGAAAATTCAAAACAAATTAGATTTTTCGATTTACTATAAACCTTCACACACGGACACAATCATACATACCAGTTCAAATCACCGTTAAAATGGCTGAATTTCACTC